GTGCACCGTGACCGGAGAGCCTCATTTGTCAGTAACCATAGTGGAAATATTACCTTGCTGACTGTTCAATTTAAAGATAGTGGATTTGCTAATATTACAGGGTAATGCTGTAGACATAAAGGTGTTATTGCTATTTGGATTATCAATGGTCGCAAGATCTCTTATTCGCGTCATATGTGGAATTGTACTCTTATTTGCATCATATGTGGAATTGTACTCTTATTTGCGTCATATGTGGAATTGTACTCTTATTTGCGTCATATGTGGAATTGTACTCTTATTTGCGTCATATGTGGAATTGTACTCTTATTTGCGTCATATGTGGAATTGCATTCTTATTTTCGCCATAGATGGAATTGTACTCTTATTTGCTTCATATGTGGAATTGTACTCTTATTTGTGTCATATGTGGAATTGTACTCTTATTTGTGTCATATGTGGAATTGAGTCATATGTGGAATTGTACTCTTATTTGTGTCATATGTGGAATTGTACTCTTATTTGTGTCATATGTGGAATTGAGTCATATGTGGAATTGTACTCTTATTTGCGTCATATGTGGAATTGTACTCTTATTTGTTTCATATGTGGAATTGTACTCTTATTTGTGTCATATGTGGAATTGAGTCATATGTGGAATTGTACTCTTATTTGCGTCATATGTGGAATTGTACTCTTATTTGCGTCATATGTGGAATTGTACTCTTATTTGCGTCATATGTGGAATTGTACTCTTATTTGCGTCATATGTGGAATTGTACTCTTATTTGCTTCATATGTGGAATCCTACTCTTATTTGCGTCATATGTGGAATTTTACTCTTATTTGCGTCATATGTGGAATTGTACTCGTACTCTTATTTGTGTCATATGTGGAATTGTACTCTTATTTGTGTCATATGTGGAATTGTACTTTTATTTGTGTCATATGTGGAATTGTACTTTTATTTGTGTCATATGTGGATTGTACTCTTATTTGCGTCATATGTGGAATTTTACTCTTATTTGCGTCATATGTGGAATTGTACTCGTACTCTTATTTGTGTCATATGTGGAATTGTACTCTTATTTTCGTCATATGTGGAATTGTACTTTTATTTGTGTCATATGTGGAATTGTACTTTTATTTGCGTCATATGTGGATTGTACTCTTATTTGCATCATATGTGGAATTGTATTCTTATTTGCGTCATATGTGGAATTGTACTCTTATTTGTGTCATATGTGGAATTGTACTCTTATTTGCGTCATATGTGGAATTGTACTCTTATTTGCGTCATATGTGGAATTGTACTCTTATTTGCATCATATTTGTAATTGTACTCTTATTTGCGTCATATGTGGAATTGTACTCTTATTTGCATCATATTTGTAATTGTACTCTTATTTGCGTCATATGTGGAATTGTACTCTTATTTGCATCATAGATGGAATTGTACTCTTATTTGCGTCATATGTGGAATTGTACTCTTATTTGCATCATATTTGTAATTGTACTCTTATTTGCATCATATTTGTAATTGTACTCTTATTTGCGTCATATGTGGAATTGTACTCTTATTTGCATCATATTTGTAATTGTACTCTTATTTGCGTCATATGTGGAATTGTACTCTTATTTGCGTCATAGATGGAATTGTACTCTTATTTGCGTCATATGTGGAATTGTACTCTTATTTGCGTCATATGTGGAATTGTACTTTTATTTTCCATTATATGTGGAATTGTACTTTTATTTGCATCATATGTGGAATTGTACTCTTATTTGCGTCATATGTGGAATTGCATTCTTATTTTCGCCATAGATGGAATTGTACTCTTATTTGCGTCATATGTGGAATTGTACTCTTATTTGCGTCATAGATGGAATTGTACTCTTGTTTTTGTCATATGTGTAATTGTACTCTTATTTTCGCCATAGATGGAATTGTACTCTTATTTGCATCATATGTGGAATTGTACTCTTATTTGCGTCATATGTGGAATTGTACTCTTATTTGCGTCATATGTGGAATTGTACTTTTATTTGCGTCATATGTGGAATTGTACTTTTATTTGCGTCATATGTGGAATTGTACTCTTATTTGCGTCATATGTGGAATTGTATTCTTATTTGCATCATATGTGGAATTGTACTCTTATTTGCGTCATATGTGGAATTGTACTTTTATTTGTGTCATATGTGGAATTGTACTCTTATTTGCATCATATTTGGAATTGTACTCTTATTTGCGTCATGTGTGGAATTGTACTCTTATTTGCTTCATATTTTTAATTGTTCTCTTATTTGCGCCATATGTGGAATTGTACTCTTCTTTGCATCATATTTGTAATTGTACTCTTGTTTGTGTCATATGTGAAATTGTACTCTTATTTGCGTCATGTGTGGAATTGTACTCTTATTTGCTTCATATTTTAAATTGTACTCTTATTTTCATTTGCGTCATATGTGTAATTGTACTCTTATTTGTGTCATATGTGGATTGTACTCTTATATGCGTCATATTTGGAATTGTACTCTTAAAACTCCATAAAACAAGCGGTTCAGCCTATAGGGATTCAATAGTACCCCCTCCCCCCAGTTCTTCTAAAGGTACATGATTAAGCAATAATTTCAAACATATCACCTGTTTTTGGCAGCCTTCATGTGAATGACCAACAAATAACAAACAGATGACCTTAAAACCTAACATTTGTGCGAATAATAATGAGCTTTAAAATGAAATATGTCATTCTTGCTTCGAATTTCTTGCACACCCCCCCCCCCCAGTCCTATAGCTACTTTACCACCAGAAGTAGGGTAAAGGTGATTGATGGGTAGAAGTGGGAAGGGGGTCACAACTTTACAAGGGCTTATAGCTAGACTTGGTATATGTATGAAGCCAATTTGATCTCATGGAATAAGTTTCCAATAAAACTACATTTGGGAAGCTTCTAAGGTAAAAATAACTTGCCAGTAAGATTATCAGCTGAAATTGCATCTCGGTATTCACTGTGAAGCCCTCAGTTTCATGAATGTTCAATGAGCATTTAATCCTAAAAAGCTAGAGAATAATTTCGTTAGAAATGTTCTTTTTGGACACACGGTAATATCATATTTCTCTATATTTCTCAGAATTTCTCTCTGACTGTTTTATTCAGTGGAAAATGGTGAAATAGAATGAAAATTGAATGTAACAGATACATTAAGACGTTTTACTTCGATGTGGAGGAACAGTTGAGAATCTCATAATATACTGTAAGACCATCAGATATATTTTCAGGCAAAAAAAATTAAAATTCTAATGAGTTTTTATCATCCATCAAAAACTAAACTACATGATCTAGGGAGATTTTAAAAATAAAATCAACAAATCAAAAAAAAAATCTAGGGAGATTTTTGTCAGTGTAACTTCAGCTGGTAGATTAGAATTAACCTCATCTTGCACGATTTTTGCAAGGGCAGCGCCAATCGATAAATAGATCTACCTGTATTTTCTTGCACAGAACTAATAGAGCTACCATTACCAGTGTAGTATAGGTTTAGTCTGGCTTCAGTCGCAGGTAAAACATGAATTACATTTTCTCTTATTTACAATAGCAGATAATTCATATATGTTCATGTAGATTTAATTTGTAGTAATATTGAGCAATATGTCGATTAATGATGATATTCCCCTCGAAACTAGCATAGGATAACAGGGGATATCCCAGGATATAACAGGCATCTTGAGAAGATCGAATGGAGGATTACAGTAGTGAGAGGATTCTTTACTTTGGCAGACACTTTTATGGAGGAAAAATGGTCTTAATGGATATAAATTTCCTGAATGGAGATTGAACATCTAATAAACATCTAATAAACATCATATAAACATCTTGAATGCAAATTATAAGTGTGTTCCTCAATGAAAATTATTCTCATACAAGAAAGATAACTGTCTTTCAGTACAGACAGAATGCCCGGTATTCTTTGACACAGAAAAAAAGTTTTGTATCCTTTGATACAGTGGAATAATTTATCATTTGATACAGGAATGATACAGAAAAGTTGGGTATACCCTTTGAAACAGGAATGTTAATATGGGGAAGTTGGGTATCCTTTGATACATGTTTAGTATCTTTTGATACTGGAAAGAAGGGTATCTTTCCATACATGAATGTTGAATATCCTTTGATACAAGTTAGTTGGGTATCCTTTGATACCGGAAGGCTAGAAATTATTTGATACAGGAAAGTTAGGTATCCTTTGATGTAGGAAAATATGATATACTTTAATTTGATATATAAAAGCTGGGTATGCTTTTATACTGAAGAATAAGTTATCCTTTGATACAGAAAAGTTGAGTTTGCTTTGACATAAAGAAGTCAGGTATCCTTTGATACAAAATGTTTGGTATCTTTTGATACATGAAAGTTTGGTATTCTTCAAGTCTGGAATCTATTGATACAAGAAAGTTTGGTATTTGAGACAGGAAAAAGTTTGATATCCTTCAATGCAAGAAAGTTTGTCTTCCTTTGATACAAGGAAGTTTGGAATCTTTTGATTCACAAAACAGGGTATCCTTTAACGGAAACAAAATTCATTTTTTTCTTTCTTAATGACTGTTGAATTAAAGTGTTAGGCCTACCTTGATTTCTCTTAAGAATTTTAATTGTTATAAAACGCAATCATCATTTTATTCTCTTCAAACATCACTGATTTCATTTCCAGAACTTGTTATTAGGATATAGAATCTCAATAATTATGGTGATTGATAGATATATCCATCCACGTTGAAATATTCATATGAGAAGGGTTCATTTTGGGCATATGACGTATAACTTAGTAAACAAATCTTCATGAATGATGGCTGTTTTCTTGAATTAGTTCCACACATAACACATTTGTCTTAAGGTGGTTAGCTGGACTTACTTTAAGGGGGTTGTTCAACGGGTACCTAAAATAATTTGGCGATTATGCAATTATGAAATAATTAATACTGTAATAATTAATACTGTAATAAATTTGTGTATTTTCAGAGGGGAAAATTCCATTAGCAATCCAAAATGGCGGATGAGGACCCAACTGGATCACCAACTGGAGTCAATTTTCAACGAAATAACTCTGAAAGTGATTTAAATCTAGTTGAAAAGATGTCCAATACGATAAAGAAACCTAACTGGGAACGATCTCAAAGCGAGTTTCAGTTGGAAAATAAAAGTTTGGACAATATACCCAAATCAAACTCTACAGAGTATCAATCGACAGCTGCAGAGGCTTCCGGAAAAATATCCGAACAAAGCAAAGTATATTGGGATTTATCACAGGCCGAAGAAGAAATGAATTTACGTAGTGGTGGGGGACCCAGAAAATTTCAAATTTCGTTACAAACAATCCACCAAAAAGAGGAATTTAGGCCAAAAGTTAGTCGTGGGAATGTATCCGAAGTGAGAGTGTTTTCTCGCCAACTCTCACAAGAGGGCGCCACTTCAAATGTGTCATCAAATACTGTCTCTACAGTAACTGTGACTCGCCATAATAGTCAACCGGAAGTATTTAGCTCCATAACGACTAACCTTCCGGAAAATTATCAACAACGGAAATCGTATCTTAAGATTGCATTTGCCCAGGCAGCTCAAAAAATTCAGTCAGGTATTCGTCAGATGAAGGTTGACTCTATTGCTGAGCAATGCATTGCAATACACGATATTTTAAAGACAATCCAACAAGCATGGGCAACTCCACAAATTGGACGTGACCTCGCATATAATTTATGTGACGTCTTTAGAGATGAGGGTGGACTTGAGATACTCATTCACAATTGTGGCTCGACCAATCATGATCTAATGAAAGAGTCCGCAGAGTTACTAGAACAAACACTGACTACAGAGAATCGTGACCGCGTGGCGAAAAAGGGATTAGAGGTTATCGTTCGCATGTCAACTGCATGTAAAGAGGACCCAGTTCTTTCTAGGGCCACAACTGGTATCCTAGAAAGCCTTTTGAAACACTCGGAAGAAACTTGCCGCAAGATAATTGACTTAGGGGGTCTCGATGCATTGTTATATTCATGCCGCAGTAAGGATCGGCTAATTCTACGTCATTGTGCTGTAGCACTTGCCAATTTAGCAATATATGGGGGTTCGGAAAATCAAATAGATATGATTGCTCATAAAGCGTGTGAATGGTTATTTCCGCTTGCATTCTCAAATGACGACTCCACACGTTACTATGCTTGTCTCGCCATCGTCACACTCAGCGCGAATAAAGAAATTGAAAATGCTGTCGCAAAATCAGGGACACTGGAACTAGTCACATCATTTATCAATAGTCATACACCATCAGATTTCGCCAATGCTGACCATAGTCACATTCATGGGCGGTCTAAGGGCTGGTTACGGAGGTTGATCCCTGTGCTGGACAGCCAGAGAGAAGAGGCGCAGAGTCTAGCTGCGTTCCACTTTGCAATGGAGGCAGGCATAAAAGTACAACAGGACAAGAAAGAGGTAACCAATATTATAGATCAATGACATTAAAGGGAAGCAATAATTGAGGCAAATAATTAACTGATAATTGAAACACTTACTTGCACTTACAATAAGAGGAGCTCATAGGTAAATCTAAGAGGAGGGAAAATCCCATAATTCATAGGTGACTCCTGTAGAGGCTCCGTTTTTACAACAGGTTCATCTATGAATTGTGGGGTATTTCCTCCTCTTACTTGCAATATAATGTTATACACTCCCTGGCCAATTCAACTCTCTTATCGCGGACCATCCATGTAATGCCTTGGTCACATTTGCTCAGATTTTCACTACGGAGCTGGCCGATTGAGTATTTTGTTCAAAATTGAATACAATATTGAACAAAACACTCAATTGGCTGGGCGCCAGTCGATGGATCGGAGCAAATGGGACCAAGGCATAAACCAGAGAGATTGCATGAGGGGATCATCAGAAGGTTCCAGTCAAATCACTGAATGAATAAGCCCATGGTATGGTAAAATGTGTTAGACCTGGTTTGACTTTTTTCAACTGCTACTTTATGAAGTATGAGATCTGTTAAAAATGGTGCAAAATCACTGGTGTGCAAAAAGTAATAGATTAAGATTGATAAGGCAGTCAGGATCTCCATGACCTGTAGTAATTACTATACAGGGTGGCCCAATAGTAGGTTTACAGTTTGCAGAGAGAGTTATTGAATAAATGTAAACCTACTTGATGGAGAATATTTGAGTCATTTTTGAACACCTGGAGTATACAGGGTGAGCCAAAAGTTGGTTTACAATTTAAGGAAAGGTATTGTTTTAAATGAGTTACAAAGTTACAAAAATGATCAGATAATATAGGGCTTGGAGGGAATCATGTGGACGGAGATTTGATGCTGGTTTTTCAATAGATCTCATATATTACGTGTGTAAAGGTTAAAAAATTCATACAAGGCCTATTTACCCTTACCATGGTTGTATTCATTTAGCAATATGTTTAGAAAATTTGACATATTAAATCCCCAACACACAGTCCATAGATTCATATTCTGTTAGAACCATATATTCTGTAAGAATTATACATTCTTCTGACAGAACCATATATTTTTCTGTTAGAACCATATATTCTTCTGTTAGAACCATATTCTTCTGTTAGAACCATATATTCTTCTGACAGAACCATATATTCTTCTGTTAGAACCATATGTCCATTTGACAGAACCATATATTCTTCTGCAAGAACCATATATTCAGTTAGAATCATACATGCTTCTGACAGAAACTATATTCCTCTGTAAGAACCATATATTCTGACAGAATCATAGATTCTGATATGACCATATAATCTTTGTATCCTTCTGACAGACCCATATGTTCTTCTGTAATAACCATTTCTTCTGTAAGAATCATATATTCTGTCATGACCATATATTCTGTAAGAACCATGTATTTTGCTTGAACCATATATTCTGCTATGACCATATATTCTGTTGGAACACTATCTTCTGCTATGACCATATATTCTGTTGGAACACTATCTTCTGCTATGACCATATATTCTGTTAGAACACTATCTTCTGCTATGACCATATATTCTGTAAGAACACTATTTTCTGCTATGACCATATATTCTGTTAGAACACTATCTTCTGCTATGACCATATATTCTGTTAGAACACTATCTTCTGCTATGACCATATATTCTGTAAGAACACTATTTTCTGCTATGACCATATATTCTGTTAGAACACTATCTTCTGCTATGACCATATATTCTGTTAGAACACTATCTTCTGCTATGACCATATATTCTGTTAGAACACTATCTTCTGCTATATATTCTGTTAGAACACTATCTTCTGCTATGACCACATACTGTGTTAGAACACTATCTTCTGCTATGACCATATATTCTGTAAGAACACTATTTTCTGCTATGACCATATATTCTGTTAGAACACTATCTTCTGCTATGACCATATATTCTGTTAGAACACTATCTTCTGCTATGACCATATATTCTGTAAGAACACTATTTTCTGCTATGACCATATATTCTGTTAGAACACTATCTTCTGCTATGACCATATATTCTGTTAGAACACTATCTTCTGCTATGACCATATATTCTGTTAGAACACTATCTTCTGCTATGACCATATATTCTGTTAGAACACTATCTTCTGCTATGACCATATATTCTGTTAGAACACTATCTTCTGCTATGACCATATATTCTGTTAGAACACTATCTTCTGCTATGACCATATATTCTGTTAAAACCATATATCTCTGTCATGCCTTACTTGATAATTAACAATTAAGTTGAAATGTAACAGAAATTGCTCTGGGACAATTCATTTTCCTTTATCTCAGTATTTAAGCGATTACACTTCATGCTTTCTGTCTTACAGAAATTGATTTCCATTAAATACTGGAAGAAACTTAAGGAAAGCTATTAATATCTTTGTGTCCATTTACAACCTCAATGTACCCATTGAATGACTGGGTGGAATTAGTATCATCCTAAATGAAACTATTTGTTTTTTGCTTCGATTTCAGAGATATTTCAGCATTCCTTTGTTTGTACCCTTTATTTAAATGTTGTCCAATTATTATAAAGCTATCTGCATATAGATTAATGTAATGACAGGAGGGTACGTATACCCCAGGGGAATGACTAACTAACGAGCATAGTGTAACAGGCCAGATGAAGAAATTGAAAAAAGTGATATCCAGTTATAAAAATATATCCCATATTCAAAGCTATCCACATATTGTTACACTATCCACTGTTTAAATGTTTGTGCAATGTACTTTTTCAGATTTTCAACGAAATTGGTGCCATAGAGCCATTAAAGCGAGCTGCAAGTTCGCCAAATAAACTCACGTCAAAGTTTGCGTGTCAAGCTTTGGAGATTATTGGTGAAGAGATTCCATTCAAACTGTCCTCCCAGGTGGCGCTGTGGACTGTTGAGGATGTGCAAAACTGGGTAAAACAGGCAAGTCTTTGCATTTATTTGACAACTTTTTAGAAGAGGCATTTTTTAGTTTTTTAGCTCATTTATGGCCTGCTGTAAGTCTGAAAGAGGCATGATAGGTATACATGTACTTTAAAGCAGCAGAATATTGTTTATCATGTACCTCTTGATGAAATGGAGTATTCTTGATGAAATGGAGTATTTTAATTGACTTGCATGCATTTCCATGGTTACCAATAATGTAGCCAAGCAAGATAATTTTTATTGACACTGTTCAAAGTTAAAACCACTTTAGCTGATATTGAAACCTTGCCCATTACTATAAAGATTTCCATGCAATTTACACAAAAGATTTTTAAAATGCGTAGAAATGATCTCTGTCGTCTAATTTTACTAAATTGTGCATCTTAATGTATGAAGTAATATGTCAAAAGATAGCAAAACTGAAAAATTCTCTGGTTTAGAGCCTAGGATTCAAGAGGTTAAGACATAGTATCATATTATTTTGAAAATATTATGCTCCCCAAGTGACCACGGGGTACCATCGAATAATTTTGGCAACGTACTGGAGAACGACATTTTACTAAGAAATGGCAATAATTTAGCACAATATATTTTTTAACTAGAGTTCTATTTTGATTTTGACAAAAGTAAGTATTCCATGCAATAACTATTTCATTCATGACTTTATAGGAATTCTGTTGGAACCCAGTTCTGATCAAGTACGAAGTTATTGAAATCGGCGCAGACGGACTTTACTCCGAAAGATGGTTTTTCGATTCTAACTTTTCACAACATTTAAGTATAGACTTTTGAAAAAAGTACAGAATATTCCTTATACTTTTGAATAATTCTGTTATTTCTGATTCACACGACTCTGATTTGTTTAATTAAAAAAAAGTTTTAAAAATATTACTTAGGAACGTAACCGGAGCTGGGAACGTAACCGGAGCAGATCAGTTGTATTATTTAGTCAAAAAAATTAAAATATATGATTTAAAGCACATATACTAATTTAAAAACATAAGGGATTGTTCGAATGCGTATTTATTAATATATATGCTTTAAATCATATATTTTATTTTTTTTTAATTATATAATTCAACTGATCTGCTCCGGTTACGTTCCAAGCTCCGGTTACGTTCCTAAGTAATATTTTTAAAACTTTTTTTTTAATTAAACAAATCAGAGTCGTGTGAATCAGAAATAACAGAATTATTCAATAGTATAAGGACTATTCTGTACTTTTTTCAAAAGTCTATACTTAAATGTTGTAAAAAGTTATAATCGAAAAACCATCTTTCGGAGTAAAGTCCGACTGCGCCGATTTCAATAACTTCGTACTTCATCAGAACTGGGTTCCAGCAGAATTCCTACAAACTCATGAATGAAATAGTTATTGCATGGAATACTTACTTTAGTCAAAATCAAAGTAGAACTCTAGTTAAAAAATATATTGTGCTAAATTATTGCCATTTCTTAATAAAATGTCGTTCTCCGGTACGTTGCAAAAATTATTCGATGGTACCCCGTGGTGACATCACCACATAACCTGATGACATTATATTTTGTGTTTATATAGAACACTCTAGATCTAGTATTAATCTAGTATTAATTCTAAAAATGAGAGCATTTTAATCATCCCTTGTACATGTACTTATTTTTTATCAAAATTTATGGATCATCCCTTGTACTTGTAGGCTGGTTTTGAAGAATATTGTGAGGCTTGTAAGGAATGTCTTGTGGATGGAGACATTCTCCTGCAACTTACAGATGAACACTTGAAGGATGATGTTGGAATAAAAGGAGGAATCGCAAGAAAAAGGTCTGGGAATTATATTTTTTATTAACTTAAGATATGTTTATTTAAATAAATAATGATATACAGCGAAACTTGTAAAGTGGAACACCTCTAGAAGTGGAACACCTCCATTAGTGGAACACTTTTCAGAGTCCCAAAATCAACTGATTTAATGTTAAATGAACCTCTATAGTAGCACATTTTACAAGTGGAACACCTTTTAGATTGGTACCAGAGTTGTTCCAACTGACTGACATTTCAAAAATAAAATAGGTTCGACCTAGAAGTTACTTTAATCTTTATGATTCTTTAAGGTTCATTAGAAAATTGAAAGAGCTGAAGAAATCAGCTGACTACGATTGTTGCGATGCAACTAAACTTGATGAGTGGATGACGTCAATACATGAAGATTTCTCAATGTATACATATCAAATGATACAAAGTGGTGTTGATAAGTTTGTGCTGCCATCTTTAACAGATGATCATTTAAACAAAGATTGCCATATTGAAAATGGTATTCATCGACTGAAGATCCTTGAAGCTATTAAACGTAAGAATTAAAGAATTATTTATTAATTTAATGAAAATATAATACCTTCTATTGCAGATGATTTTACAGTTTTGAGTCTGGTATTCTTTGAAGTAATGATAATTTAATGATAATTAGCAGCAAATTTGTTGTCAAAAGAATTCCAAAGGTAATACATGTGTTTTTGACACAAAAATATATTTTGGAATAACCTAAATAATTCTCAATTATGATCAGATCTTAATTTTTGAGGAATTATTTTTCTAGGATGCCGTTCAGGGATTGGCCGAGATCTTCCCGATAATTTCTACCACAAATCACTTGATGTTTTCATCTCATACAGACGCTCAAATGGATCTCAGCTGGCAAGGTGAAGTTTGAAAAAAGCATTGGTTGTAGTTTGTTGCATGAATTTGGTGTAAAACACCTATTAATCTGACAGGAGACAGTTGACCAAAATATTGGTGAAATTTACAGGAGAAATGTTTCTTTTCTTCAATTCATTTACCAATGCTCCAATTTTTGGTCCATCCTGTCTAGAATGTCCTCGTTTCATTTATTGTACACTGTAGTGTAGTATTATGAAAAAATATTATGTAAAATATGTTCAATCAAGCTTTAGATACAGGGTTCTCATGTGTCATATATGCTGATCTTTTACAAATGTGTTGGTTCAAGATGATTCAAACATGACCATCCTCTAATTGAATTTTTCAACCAATCAAAATGCAGCATAGCCAATAAAGAACATTCTCTATTTCTCCATAGAGACGCACGACCGTGCTCTATTCGATCTGCTTCCAGGAATCGATGTACATGTATCATGTTGTAAAATGAAGTCACACCTTGGAATTTCACCATATTGAATGGCCTAGCATAGTTTATTCCTTTAATAATTTCTCTAAAATATATTACTCTTATGTTCCAGCTTATTAAAGGTGCATCTACAACTTAGGGGATTTACTGTTTTCATAGATATTGAAAAACTGCGTGCTGGGAAATTTGATGACAATCTTTTGAACAGTGTTCGTAATGCCAAGCACTTTATCCTAGTTCTAACCCCTGGGGCATTAGACAGATGTGCGGGGGACACACTCACTAAGGACTGGGTACACAGGGTATGTGTTGCTATGGTTACCATTGCATTGTGGTAACTATTGTACTTTTGCTTTGAATATTGCACACTTGGCTTATTGCAGTTGTTGTAGATAAAACAAAAACCAGGGCATATATAATAATCTAAGTAAATTGCCCAGTTTTTCTTCAACTTCTTTTTGTTAGCATAATTTCTATAAACCTAGCAAATTTTTAAGTCATCAAGATCATTTTCCCAAATATTGGGATGAAATTCCTGACTTTTAACTATATTCATTATATAGGAGGTTGTAGCTGCAATAGAAGGGGCATGTAATATCATTCCTATAACAGACAACTTCACATGGCCTGCCCCTGACTCACTTCCCGATGATATGAAAGCTATATGCCACTTCAATGGAATCAGGTAATTTTACCTCTGGCTATTACACTTTGTTTGATTGGTTTAGCATCTTAAAAGAAAGCTTCTCCTACACTCTTTGAGAAAAAGAGGTCCTAGCCTTATCCAATCAAAATTACAGTCCGAATTTTATACTTTTATAAGTAGCTGGTATTTACATGTAGTTCATATTTATTCAACATCTAGATGAATTTATACAATTTCAGATATTTAAAGAGATTTCTTACAACTCTTGAGTCACGAAAATGTCTGCAAAAGTGCATGCATGTATGATGTTCCATATATTGTAATTTATTATGTGATTCTAGATGGATTCACGATTACCAAGATGCATGTATCGACAAACTTGAAGAGTTTCTGCGTAATGACATCGGTGCATCCCCTCCCTCCTCAAAGCGACAGACTAGTCTAAATTCATCTGGAGAGGGCCATGGCCCAGTACATAGATGGAGTAGTACTGATACAGACCCTCGAATGAGTCCTGATAGCTCATCTTAACTCATGATATCTCCAATACAAGCTGTGAAAGTTGGAATTTGTTAAGATGAAATTTTACCGAAAACATTATATGACTTTACCTAAACCGCTGAGCTTGCCTGTCTCTTGATAATACAAGAGCAGGGTTCACGTTTCAAGTTGAAAACATGATTGCCCAATGGAGCATAATGACTTTCAATCCATTACTCATATTTCCAAGCCTGTTGCCAGAGTGAAAAGTGCTGATGGTTTTACAAAATGTTAAAGCCCACGTATAGAATTTGACAATATATATTGGGTCTTTAAAATACCACCAGTCAAAAATCAAGGTAAAATTTCTTCTTATATAATGAGAACCTTCTTATACAGTAAAATTGAGCATAATTTTATTGTATTTTTATGAATGTAGTGAGTACATAGTGTACATAGTCTATGAATGTTGAAGAAATATGTAAATGCAATGTACAGTAGATAATATGATGTATAATAAAACAATTAAAGGTGAATATGTTTGTATAAGGAAACAAATATGAGTAAATATGTTCACACAACAAAACAATTATGAGTATGTCCATGGAGCATGCCAATAATGAGTAAATATGTTCGTACAATAGAACAATTATGAGTAAATATGTTCATACAATAGAACAATTATGAGTAAATTTGTTCATACAATAGAACAATTATGAGAAAATTAGTTTATTCAATAGAACAATTATGAGTAAATATGTTCATAAAACAGAACAATAATGAGTAAATATGTTCATAAAACAGAACAATAATGAGTAAGTGCATTCATTCAATAGAACAACTTTGAGTAAATATGTTCATACAATAGAACAATTATGAGTAAATTTGTTCATACAATAGAACAATTATGAGAAAATTAGTTTATTCAATAGAACAATTATGAGTATATATGTTCTCACAACAAAACAATTATGAGTATGTCAGTGGAGCATACCTAAAATGAGTAAATATTTTCATTTGATAGGACAATTATGAGCAAATATGTTCATACAATAAGACAATTATGAGTAAATATGTTCATTCAATAGAACAATTAGAAATAAATAAGTTCATTCAATAGAACAATAATAAGAAATTGTGTTCATTCAATAGAACAATTATGAGTAAATATGTTTATACAATAGAACAATGATGTTTTAATGTTATCATTATATAGAACAATAAGATGTGTGAACAATAAATTGTTTAAACAATTGACAAAAATAAATAAGTACACCATATTCTGTACATTTGCAATAATAGATACAATACATGTACATACATAATGAATGATTTCATATAATACAACAATGCATGTTCATATACAATAACATGTTCATGCAATTGAAAAATATTTAAAGTAAGTGCTGGTCACACTATATAACTTCATAGTTAGTGTATTATATCATGTATTTGTGTTCATTGCTGCAAGGGATAGAGGCAGTTAGTGAGAGTAACTTTAAAAGATCAGTGTTATAGTTTGACAAAAATTATAGTTTTATTGGCTCTTGACATTTACTCATGGAGTTTGTACAAACAGTTGGAGGTTTTTTGTTCTTCTATGTTAAGTACATAGTAACTGTATTTTAGCATGTCCACAAAATCAGTGCAGCAAAAGAGAGATTCATTGAGAGAAGGTTGATAAAATGTGTGTTACAATTTGACAGGTGGTTTTTATCAGCTCTTGACATTTACTCATGGAGTTTGAGGTTTCTTGTTCTTCTAGTCTTGACTTGCCATTTCCGAGTCATCTTGATTTTCAAGAATTTGCAATACTTTTTATAAGGTTAACCTCACACATTTTACAGTTTCTATCCTTTGCTGCAACATTAAGGAATTTCACATAATATAAAAAACAGTAGAACCTGTATATCAGAACACCTCTAATCTGACAACCTCTTAATATGAACGCTTTCCTAGTCCAAATTTAGGTGTCACCCATTGGCTCACGTATTAAAAACTTGAAATGTGCCATTGGAAACCTGCTAATCCCAAAACATTTGGTTGGCCCAAGTGGTGTTCAGATAAGACAGGTTTTACTGTATATGGTTTTGAGGAAATTGGCAAGGAAGACAGAACCTCATTTTGTTTACTATGTCACCAACACAAGTGGTGACATATCGTCATAGTTTCCATTTTTGTGGATGGTGTTTGGTAGTTGGTCTTCAGCGGTCGGTGTCTGTAACAGTGGTGACATTTTGCATGTTTATGCCTTGTTTTTGTGTTATAATAGTATATTTTGGGGAAATTATTTCCACTATTTACACTGTAATTTTTGGTGGATGCACTAGAGTTAATTGTTTATGTTAATAAAGTAAATTTGATTTTATGAAATATATTGTCATGTAAAAAGGACAACCTTTATTTAGTTTGTTTAGTGATATTGGAGGGAAGCAATGTTGTGTTATAAGGAGGGGGGCATCAAAAGTTCAATATCTGATAGGAGACTTAATACATCTAGTTGTGAGTTTAACCCTTCCCCTGAAACTAAATACGATGTATTTTAAACCAGCAAAGGCATTCTGAGTCAAAATTGCAAAAATATTCACACATTTCACACATAATATCTTGTTATATGTGGTGAAGTGCAGCAATGCAATAATCAAGTTTAATTCATCGAATCCATCCAAATGATTAGAATTAAGATAAAGTTAAAGATCACATACTTCATTTCTAGCATATGACTATCTTCAGATGGCATATTTTACTTATCATTGCAAAATATTTTCAAGGGGTTGAAGGTCCATAACCATAAATTAGTTATTGAACAAGGAAGTTAAAACATTTTATGTTAAAGCATATAAATACAATACAAGCTCAATTCTAAACCAATGGAAACATATACTAGCATAGATAAAAAATTTAGAAAATGGATTAAGGAATATACAACCTTCTGGATTGTTATGATTTTGATGTGCTCCACTGCAGGTAAGATAAGATGAATATATATGTGTGTTAACGTTCACAAACAATGGACTTTGCTTCACAATGATTTCTCTACGTTTACAACAAGGAAGTAATGAATTAGTAGTTGTATGTGTTTATGTGATCACTCCAGACGGGAACTGGAGAAGGGCGATGTACTTAAAAAACCAAGTTACCTTTTACAGTTACACTGTACAAACATAAAGTATTATATCTGTAAATATATCTTTCAGCATCGGGTCAAGGTGATATAGTCCTGATAGAAGGTCCACAGGACAGGGCTGTGTTGTCTGGGCAGAATGCTGAATTGACTTGTCACATTGACCCTATTGCATCTGGGGCTAGTCATGTTGTGCAGTGGCTAGGAAACTCTATCAGAACAGGAGCTGGTAGACCAATATCAGTTAATGGAAGGATAACTTTAACTGACATACCTGGCAAGTTCTCTATAAGTACAGAGAAACCATACAATCTGAAACTACAAAACGCTGACTTGAATGATGCTGGAAAGTACCAGTGTAATGATGTGCTAGCTGGAGCACTGATAAGTGGCCTAGAGCCTCAGCTGGTTGTACTTGGTAAGTTGGTGTTAATTGATGAACTAGTAAGAGTTCTGTTTTGAACAAAAAGTCAAGCATTTCTTTTAAATTACAAACTTCTACATTTTATATGTACGTATTAAAAAATTGACATGTGACTTAACCCACCTGTGCCAAATGGCACAATTCTGATTTTAAAATAGAATAACCTTAGGAAAAACAGATAAAGCATGGTATATGTATGTACAACATGATCTCCGTTGCGCCGGCTATTGTATGCACTCTAGATATATATTGTGTAAATTACCGGATCCTGTATCATGCCCTATGTCAGGAACTACGACATCAAATGAAAATGAAAACTATCCAATTGAGTGGTCTTTATTGTTTTACATTATATTTCCAGAACCCGCATCATGCCCTATGTCAGGGACTACGGCATTTATTCAGAATGATACCATTACATTTGAGTGGTCTGTCACATATGCAGGAGAGAGAGATGATAGCCAGAATCCCACTATTACTTGGACACTTAATGGTATTGAGCAAACTGCAACACCTGATGAGACTACACCTGGGGTCTTCAAGTCAATGTTTACTAAAACAGCATCTAGTGTTGATAGCCTGAAGGAACTCAAGTGCTCCTTTACTGTACTGAATATCCAACAACATTGTTCCACTAGGCTCAATATACAATGTAGGTTTTCTAATAATGTAATGTGATATTATGTTATCGATATAATCATTGAAATAATTATAACAGTTGAATATATCATTTGCCGGAGACTCTTATATTTGGGCATTTAATTCTCTTTTTATATTTAAGAGTCACATCGAGAAACAAAAATCAGGCAAATAGACGTCCAAGAAAATATTGCAAGTTATTTCTTAGAAATGTTTTCAGTAACACTATGACCGTGAAGAAATATTAATTTTTATTTTTATAAGTGTTTCGTTTTAGATCCAGCCAGTAAGCCAACACTCTTTGTCGATGGCAACAATATTCCAGACCAAGCTATAATACAACGCACAGTAGGGAGAAATGTACAACTAAAAGGAGAGTCATCAACAAACCCTATTCCAACGTTCATATGGCAGTTTAGAGCAACAGGTGATCCTAGCTTTGGAACTGAGCAATTTGGAGACACAAAACAAATCAACAACATACAATTCAACAAGGCAGGGATATACAGATGCTGTGCTAGCAATGACTTAAATGGTTATCGGGAATGCAGTGAATTGACAATTGAAGTTGTTGGTATGTATTTTTCCTTTGATTAGCAACATTAAATCCACTTTTAAGGTGACATGGAAGTTAACAGGAAATGACAAAAACGAAAAGTGACAAAACCATGCATGTCTTGATATTCTTTATTACATTGATATTATGATATTCTTTGATATGTATGATATTCTTTAATACAAATTTTTCTAGCAGAATACAGGGTGTCCTGAAAGCATGCCCCCCCCCCTAGGCGAACATATTCCAATGTCTTCATAGTATGTGTCATATATCATTTTAAAGCTTATCCAAACTTACATTGATTTGCCAAGTATCATGGTTCAACCCACAAATGGTAAAAAGTTACAGGCATTTTAAAACTTAGTGTTTGGCCAAAAATATAGTTCATTTCAGTATCCTGGAAACAGCCCTGACCTGAATGTGACCGAAAAGATGGGTGTTATTGTCAACAAAAGCATGGATATTGTGTTCTAAAAAGAGGAAGTTGAGGGTAGATACTCCAAGTAAACTTTTCTCGAATGCCTTGAAAAGGTTTTATCAGGCCTAGGATTACAAAATGCCAAATCCCTATTTGAAGCATGTTTAAGGTCATATATGGAAAGCATTACTGCTGTTAACATGGCTTAGGGAGACACGCCGACTATTATTCTGGTGTAAAACTGTTAATTTTGGTCAAACACTAAATTTTGAAATGCCTGTAATGATTTCCCATTTGTGAGTTGAACTGTGATACTTGGCATATCAATGCAACTTTGGAGGATCTTTAAAATGATATATGACACATACTATGGAGACATTGGTATATGTCTTCCTAGGGGGCCCCCATACTTTCGGGACACCCTGTATATCCTGTATTGCACTTCAAACGTTCAATAACTTATAGTGTTTTAGACAGTAATTGATTTATTCTAATGTCTACAACCTTTTTATAACACTAAGTCGCAAGGAGGGGGTCATTTGCCCCCCGCGATTTTTTATTACTTGTCTGATTCAATATTGCTGGTAATGTTGTAAACATTTTTTTGACATTTTGTAATAAATTGTCAATTTTTTCATAATAAATTGTATGTGCCAAAAAATGCCTCGCTGCCAAATAATTATCTATTATCTTTCAAATAAGACCAAAATCATGGTAAAAGCTTTTCTAGAACTAAGTTCCACACTTTCAAAGATAGCAGGTATTGCGAAATCCCATTGAAATCAATGTAACGTGAAACTGAATAGTCAGCAATTTCAAGTTCAACTTGTTTCAACAATGCCAATCAGTGATTTAGTTTGCAGATGTATGAATGTATGACTAAGTATTGTTTCAATATAAGTTCAGTCCATGATGATGCCTAACAACCACCTAGCAACGGCACTAATATCGAAATAGTGAAATTGAAAAATTTCTGATAGGGGAGAATAAAAAATTTTGGAAGAAGGTATCATCATAATTCTCATACCACGGTTGGCATAAACATTTAGGAATATGCAAAACAATTTCAAAGGTATTCATTGGGTATATTTTGAAAAAAAGGTTTTTCTCTCAAACTCATGAAGAGAACGTGTTTCGCGACTACTTGGCGATAAACAGTTTTTACCTTTTAAAAATTCGATTTTCATGAAATAAAGCATATTGGAAAGATAATTCAATATGCTAAATTATCATCTATCAAACAAAGCAATAATCATCTTTTTGTATTTTCTAGAGCATAAAAAAACAAAGTAACAATCAACATGATCAGTATTTTATTAATTTCAATTTTATTGGCATCATGTTCCAACTATCATAGCTTTGCCCCGAATCACCTTGATTTTTACACCAAAAAGTGTCTTATATCTGTGGCTCAAGCTAAATAATAACGGATACGCATAAGAAATTGTCGAAAAGTACTCTTTACGAAAATCGAGAGGGGGGGGGGGTCGGATTGACCCCTCTGCAGACATTAAGGTAAATTGAATACATGAGAATATGAAATGTTTATCAAGCAACAACAACAACAACGACGACTGCAACCACATCGACAGTGTCATCCTCAGCACCAATTCCATCAAAAGTAACAGCCTTCAATTGCTCCATGTGTTCCTGTCCCATCGTTCCAACGGGTAGGTCTTTTTAATCGGTATGTTTCTAAACTGTTCAATATAAGTACATATAAAATGATGTAGCCTTCCTGGTAGTAGACACAACATTGAGTCGGCTGCATACCTGAACAACCATCAACTGACGTTTGCCTAAGGATCTTCCACAATTCTTTTTATGAAGACTTCCCAACTTAAGCTTACTATAGTACATCAGAACATGAATCAATGGCCAATATATAAATATAATAAATAAATATAATAAATAAATATTTCAATACTCTTTTATATTGTATCGACAGGTAGTTCAACGGGGAATATCGTCGGAGGAGTTCTTGGTTCACTGTTTGCCATTGGCATCATTGCTGTTCTTGCATTTTTCGCATTCAAGCTGCAAAACGAAAACAAACAATTGGAGAAAGAAAACTCACTATATTATTATTTCAATACTCTTTTATATTGTTTCCTCAGGTAGTTCAACAGGAAATATCGTCGGAGGAGTTCTTGGTTCACTGTTTGCCATTGGCATCATTGCTGTTCTTGCATTTTTCGCATTCAAGCTGCAAAACGAAAACAAACAATTGGAGAAAGAAAACTCACTATATTATTATTTCAATACTCTTTTATATTGTTTTCATAGATAGTACAACGGGAAATATCGTCGGGGGAGTTCTTGGTTCACTCTTTGCCATTGGCATCATCGCTGTTCTTGCACTTTTCGTCTTCAAGCTTAACAATGAAGTCAAACAACTGAAGAAAGAAAACTCACTATCACAAAAAGATTCAAATCGGTATAGGTAAAAACTATTATTAAAGCAAAGTCAGTTGAAAAATCACACTGGCGTCACCTTATATAACCTAAGCATTGCTTTAATAAACCAACCAATTTTATTAAGATGGAATGCTTCACTGCTCATTCCTGAAACAGTACCTCGCCTGATTGAGATAAACAATGCAAATTATCCCTCTGATATATTTCTTTTCTTCTCAATACATTAATATAATTTATAACATACCTATGGTGATGTATAGTGCAAAGTGTACACAAGCCAGCGGGCCAATATAAGTTTTGAAAAGCCCGCGCCCGCTAACTTTCTGATTGGTCAAGGCGCTGACGTCATAACCAATCAATTGAAGATAAAACTGCGCGAGCAATTTTTCTAAACTCATTTCAATCATTTTCAAACCGTTTGTTTGTCAATTCTATAAGAAAACGGTACTCTCTGACCAGTCTACATCATCATAGGTGTGTTATAAATCGTTTATGTCACTATCGTGGCACATATGCCCTCAGTTCTCAGAGATCAATGTCCCTCCCAAGGTCGGGCCATATATCACTGAGACCTCGGGCATATATGCCACGATAGTGACATAACCTCTAAATATTATATTGTATATGTCGACTCCCAGTATATTTTTGTCTATTTTATCCTCATTCATTCGTTCATTGTTGTTTTTATTGTTTTGTAGCACTGGTCCAAGTAGCGAGGTAAATGTTGCCTTTCAACAAAGTCAAAGCGTTCCATATGAAGAAGTTGACTTTAAAACAAACACGTACGCTCAGCTAAACAAAGATGATGTTAGCGTTCACATTGTAAGTTTAATTGTCAAATAAAGTTGCAGTCTCTTATCACATGTTAAAATGCATTTCAAATTTCAAATACCACTATTTGTGTGATTTAGCCAAACGCATGTGACAACGAATACCCAATGGAAGTAATTGAAATCAGGGCCGCATTGGGTGCTGGTAAATTTGGTGTTGTAAAACTAGTGAATGTTTCAAATATCACTGTTTGTATGATTTAGCCAAACACATCTGACAAAGAATATCCAATGGAAGTAATTGATATTGGGGCCACATTAGGTGCAGGTGAATTTGGTGTTGTAAAACTAGTGAATGTCAATGACAATGTGAATGCCCCATTTATGGCCGCTGCGAAGATATTAAGGGGTAAGTAAAAATGCTTGGTACCGTTTCCGAATGCTTGATTTTGCCACGATTTCGTAGGATGTAGGCAAAATCTTCCCCACAATCATTCTGGCGTCTCGTGAGTCATTCGTTCGCAAATAAATATATTTTCCTCAACATATGAAGATGATAAACCAATGGGCCAAAAAAGTCGTGAAGATTTCGTTTGCATCTCCTGGAATCATGGAAAATGAAAACCCCTACCTCCGTCCGAGGCTGTGACATTTTATCACCAATTTGAAAACACAGTGTATATATAGGAATTGTGTCTCAATATGCATTAAGAATAACGTTTATAGTCATTTTTTATCTTAATTTGGTATATTATTGCAGACAATGCATCAGATGACGACCATTAGGCCCTGCTTCGTGAATTGAATCTGATGAAACAGTTACCAAAACATAGCAGTACGGCATAGTCTATGTCCATTTTATTGTTAACTTTGGTATATCTTGTTGCAGATAATGCATCTGATGACGACCACCGGGCTCTGCTTCGTGAATTTGATCTGATGAAGCAGTTACCAAAACATAACAATTTGGTAGAACTTCTGGGTTACTCAAAATACAATGGTACAATATTTAATGCATACTGTATATATCAATAGCTTAAAGGCAGGTTTCATCCATCCTCTTGACGCAGGGGTTCCTTCATTCTTTCGGAAATTGCGACTTCTGGAGGCATGTGTTCGAAGGATGGATTTCATAAAAGTTATTGGACATCTGGTAAAGATAAATAATGAGATATTTCTATATTTTTGAACAAAGGTTTCTACTGTTGTAGTATTGTAATGTTTTAACAAACCAAATTGAATTTCATGTTGATTATCAATTATATCAATTATTTATTTATCCTAAGTAGTAAATTATTTTAATCCATTCATATTGTCAATACCATATTCCAATATAATAATACAGCGCTACTTTATATAAAACTATTTACTAAAGACATTTTTGATCATATCGTATCATGTTTATATGTATAGACCAAACTATGATACTCGTTGAGTATCTACCCTTGGGAGACCTGCAAAGCTACCTGAGAGCTAACAAAGCAAGATACATCAGGTCTGATAAGTTGGACACCAGTAAAGAATTAATACAGTTTGGATATCAGATTGCGTGTGGAATGAACCATATATCATCTTTCAAAGCAAGTGATTTTCTTAGTTCCTGTATTAATTGATCATTTACGGTGGTTTTACTTGGGTTAATGTCTAGTGTTTGAGCATGTATGCTTGATAGAGAGGTACATGCATTGAAAGTTATTAACGTCATTATGTCCAACATAGGTGATGCCATGCATAGTTTCAAATGTAGTATCTTATCTACTTTGTAATACGTATAGCCCTTCAGAACCTCCACACAAATAGGCCTTTATTTATTTCTAGTTTCTGCACCGTGACCTTGCAGCCAGGAATATCTTACTGGGTGCAAATAAAGTTTGCAAGATCTCTGATTTTGGTCTCTCGAGGGATGTTGCTGAAAGAGATCTGTACAGTAGAACGTCTAAAGTAAGTCATTTAGTTGTTTGGATCATTGAACCCGAACTGTTTTTGTATTATTTTGTGTTTTTTTTGTTGTCACACATTCTATACCCAGAATGCATGAAATCCAACATATAATGTCAGATTATACACGATATAATTTCACATCTTAGGGCTGTCTTCCAATTAGATGGTTGTCTCCAGAAGCTCTTCTTCACAATATCTACACAACCAAGAATGATGTTTTAGCCTATGGTATACTGCTCTGGGAAATACTAACATTTGAATATGCATCATATTGTAGGGCCGTCTTCCAATAAGATGGATGTCTCCTGAAGCTCTTTTCCACAATATCTACACAACCAAGAATGATGTATGGGCCTATGGTATACTGCTCTGGGAAATACGAACATTTGAATATGCATCATATTGTAGGGCCGTCTTCCACTTAGATGGATGTCTCCTGAAGCTCTTTTCCACAATATCTACACACAACCAAGAATGCTGTTTGGGCCTATGGTATACTCCTCTGGGAAATACTTACATTTGAATATGTATTATATTGTAGGACCGTCTTCCAATTAGATGGTTGTCTCCTGAAGCTCTTTTCCACAATATCTACACAACCAAGAATGATGTATGGGCCAATGGTATACTCCTCTGGGAAATACTTACATTTGAATATGCATCACATTGTAGGGCCGTCTTCCAATTAGATGGATGTTTCCTGAAGCTCTTTTCCACAATATCTACACAACCAAGAATGATGTTTGGGCTTATGGTATACTCCTCTGGGAAATACGAACATTTGAATATGCATCATATTGTAGGGCCGTCTTCCAATAAGATGGATGTCTCCTGAAGCTCTTTTCCACAATATCTACACAACCAAGAATGATGTATGGGCCTATGGTATACTGCTCTGGGAAATACGAACATTTGAATATGCATCATATTGTAGGGCCGTCTTCCACTTAGATGGATGTCTCCTGAAGCTCTTTTCCACAATATCTACACACAACCAAGAATGCTGTTTGGGCCTATGGTATACTCCTCTGGGAAATACTTACATTTGAATATGTATTATATTGTAGGACCGTCTTCCAATTAGATGGTTGTCTCCTGAAGCTCTTTTCCACAATATCTACACAACCAAGAATGATGTATGGGCCAATGGTATACTCCTCTGGGAAATACTTACATTTGAATATGCATCACATTGTAGGGCCGTCTTCCAATTAGATGGATGTTTCCTGAAGCTCTTTTCCACAATATCTACACAACCAAGAATGATGTTTGGGCTTATGGTATACTCCTCTGGGAAATACGAACATTTGAATATGCATCATATTGTAGGGCCGTCTTCCACTTAGATGGATGTCTCCTGAAGCTCTGTTCCACAATATCTACACAACCAAGAATGATGTATGGGCCTATGGTATACTCCTCTGGGAAATACTAACATTTGAATATGCATCATATTGTAGGGCCGTCTTCCAATAAGATGGATGTCTCCGGAAGCTCTTTTCCACAATATCTACACAACCAAGAATGGTGAATGGGCCTATGGTATACTCCTCTGGGAAATACGAACATTTGAATATGCATCATATTGTAGGGCCGTCTTCCAATTAGATGGATGTCTCCTGAAGCTCTTTTCCACAATATCTACACAACCAAGAATGATGTATGGGCTTATGGTATACTCCTCTGGGAAATACTAACATTTAAATATGCATCATATTGTAGGGCCGTCTTCCAATTAGATGGATGTCTCCTGAAGCTCTTTTCCACAATATCTACACACAACCAAGAATGATGTATGGGCCAATGGTATACTCCTCTGGGAAATACTAACATTTGAATATGCATCATATTGTAGGGCCGTCTTCCAATAAGATGGATGTCTCCTGAAGCTCTTTTCCACAATATCTACACAACCAAGAATGATGTATGGGCCTATGGTATACTCCTCTGGGAAATACTAGCATTTGGTAAAAGTTTCTCGCTTAATATAAGTTTATTAAGTTACAATCATGCTGTACAGTGTACATGTAATGTTGGGAACAATACTTAATGAGCATGCCAATGTCTCCAGTAAAGGCGCTTACACTCTCGGAGAGAGCTATAAAATTTGCGATATCTAATCGAATATGAAATCTAATCTAATACATGTATTTAGAAATATGATAAAGGCATCTTCTGAAGTAAACTCAGAACTCTTGTCTGGCCAGACGTTACAAAATACTGGGAACAAAGAAAACATTGTATAACAGTGACAATTTTCCAAAAGATTACCAATTCTATTTCTATTTACTTATTTAGTGACTTAATAGTAATTGATATTCTGAAGAATAGATTACATCCCAGATGGTTGCGTCCCACAGCCAAAGGGTTGATATTTATATGCTGTTCACATTGTCAATCTTCAACTAGGTTCAACGCCGTATACTGGGATGAAAGGCAAAGAGGTCATGGAATTTGTGAAAGCTGGGAATGTGATGGACAGGCCACAACATTGTAAAGTAACACTGTAAGTCTTCCTTCGGAGCTTCTAATATTCTTACTCAGATCTGCCTGTGAGAAAGTATCAGAAAATTAAACCAACACTTGAATAATTGTATAAAATATAAATTACACAGAATAAGTTATAAAGGTATTAAAGAATTACAAAGGCAAGGGTAATTAGTAGATGTCCATATTGATTTTGAAAAATGAACCAATGTGACTTGGAACTGGGAAAAATTCACATTAAATACTGTGGATATGCATTATTGAATTTTTTCATCATTTTTTAATATTAAATATTTTGTATACATTAACTATTTTCAATTGGTTATTTATATCACAACTTTCTAACTTGCAGTTATAATGTGATCGCAGAATGCTGGAGCCATGATGCGGGTAGACGACCAACATTCTCAGATCTCGTATCCAAAATGGAGAGCATCTTACAGGAAGAAACTCCTTATATGGAAATGAAGGACTTCAATGAGGCTCTTTATGTTAATGTTAACCCAAGAAATCTCAAAGAAAAACTTTAGAAACTATATGTTAATTAACTAATATACGTAAATTATTAGTAAACTTATGAGAAAATTATGAGTTAATATGTTTATCCAATAGAACAATTATGAGTGTGCTCATTCAATAGATCAGTTATGGGTAAATATGTTCATTCAATAGAACAATGATGTTTTAATGTTATCAATATAATGAACAACAATATGTGTGAACAATAAATATGTATATATGTATAAACAATTGAAAAAAATAAACATGTACACTATAATATGTACATTTGCATTAATAGATACAATACATGTACATAGAAAATGAATGATTTCATATAATACAACAATGCATGTTCATGTACAATAACATGTTCATGTAATAGAAAACAAATTATTTAAAGTGTATTTTAGCATGTCCACAAAATCAGTGCTGCAAATGATAGAGAGACTTATTGAGAGTTGAAGATTGAAAAAATGTGTGTTTCAATTTGACACGTAGTTTTATAAGGTCTTGACATATTTACTCATGGAGTTTGGACAAAAAGTTGGAGGTTTTTGACTTGCCAATCCCGAGTCATCTTTATTTTCAAGAAATTGGCAATTTTTCTCAATTTTATCACTGTGACAGATAGTTCATTTCTTTTTCATATATTTTGGTCGTACACGTGGTTTAACTAGGGATGCTTTTTATAAGGTTAACCTCACACATTTGACAGTCTCTATCCTTTGCTGCATCATTAAGGAATTTCACATAATATAAAAATTGAAAGTACAGTATAACCCTTATATCGGAACAACTCTAATCTGACAACCTCTTACATATTGACAACTTGAAATGTGAACACCTACTCATCTTTATTTTCAAGAAATTGGCAATTTTTCTCAATTTTATCACTGTGACAGATAGTTCATTTCTTTTTCATATGTTTTTAGGATGTACTCGTGGTTTAACTAGGGATGCTTTTTATACGGTTAACCTCAAACATTTTACAGTTTCTATCCTTTGCTGCAACATTAAGGAATTTCACATAATATAAAAATTGAAAGTACAGTAAAACCTGTATATCGGAACACCTCTAATCTGACAACATCTTAATATGAACGCTTTCCTTGTCCCAATTTAGGTGTCACCCATTGGCTCACATATTAACAACTTGAAATGTGGACACCTGCTAATCCCAACACATTTGGTTGATCCAAGTGGTGTTCAGATAAGACAGGTTTTACTGTATATAATTTTGAGGGAGAACCTCATTTTGTTTATTATGTTACCAACACAAGTTATGACATATTGTTATAGTTTCCAATTTTTGTGGATGGTGTTCGGTGGTTGGTCTTCAGCGGTCGGTGTCTGTAACAATGGTGACATTTTGCATGTTAATGCCTTGTTTTGTGTTATAACAGTATATTTTGGGAATTATTTCCACTATTTACACTGTAATTTTTGGTGGATGCACTAGAGTTAATTGTTTATGTTAATAAAGTAAATTTGATTTTATGAAATATATTGTCATGTAAAAAGGACGACCTTTCTTTAGTTTGTTTAGTGATATTGCAGAGAAGCCATGTTGCGTATAAGAGGAGGCATCAAAATTCCAATGTCTGATAGGAAACTAAATAAATCTAGTTTTTAGTTTAACTGTCCCCCAGAAACTAAATACGATGAATTTTAAACCAGCAAAGGCATTCTGAGTCAAAATTGCAAAAACGTTGAAATTTGTCGGATAATAAACTGAAATGACTTTGACCCCCCCCCTCCCCAACTAGATTTGTTAAGTTTCCTTTCAGACATTGAACTTTTGATGCCTCCCCTAAAGCCTATGCTTGCGTCAAATCTCTGATTGATCACTGAAGAATAGGATTTTACATTTTTGCACAGATGGTTTAATAACCTAGGTTAATATTTGAAGGAAATAAATGTTATAGGCTATCCATTTATTTCTAATTTTGATCTTCGATAAAGCTGTTTGTACGTTTTAGTGTGTTGTTATCTTGTAAATATGTGGTGAAGTGCAGCAATGCAATAGTCAAGTTTAATTTATTGAATCCATCCAAATAATTAAAATCAAGATAAAGTTAAAGATCGCATACTTCATCTCTACCATATAACTGTCTTCAGATTGCATATTTTACTTATCATTGCAAAATATTCTCAAGGGGTTAAGGTCCATAATCAACAAAATAAGTTATTGAACAAGGAAGTTAAAACGTTAAAGCAGATGTCGATTTTATAATATCACTATATTTACACAATACAACCTCAATTCTAAACCAATGGAAACATATACTAGCATAGTTGGAACATTTAGAAAATGCATGAGGAATATACAACCTTCTGGATTGTTTTCATATTGATGTGCCCTACTGCAGGTAAGATAAGATGAATATAAATATTTGCAAGCTCGGGCTATATTGACGTCAGACTTCAGGCACATATTCAATGATAGGGACATAATTGCTAAATATGTGTTAACGTTCACAAACAATTGACTTTGCTTAACAATGATTTCTCTACGTCTAAGTTGCACCTTTTACACTGTACACACATAAAGTATAATATCTGTATCTTTCAGCAACGGGTCAAGGTGATATAGTCCTGATAGAAGGTCCACAAGACAAGGCCGTGTTGTCTGGGAAGAATGCTGAATTGACTTGTCATATTAACCCTATTGCATCTGGGGCTGATCATGTTGTGCAGTGGATAGGGGGTAGTGCAAGAACAGGAATTGGTAGACCGTTATCAGTTAATGATAGGATTACTTTTACTGACATACCTGGCAAGTTCTATATAAGTACAGATAAACCATACAATCTGGGTTTACAGAGCACCGACTTAGATGATGCTGGAAAGTACGCTTGTAATAATGTACTACAGGGACAACCTATAGGTGACGTAGAGCCTTACTTGGTTGTACTTGGTAAGTTTGTGTTTTATTTCATACATCTTGCAATATTATTAATTGATAAAACGTTACATGTGTCGTTGAGTAATGTGGATGTTATTTATTGACAATGACATTCTACACTGTTTATGAAATGATCCCTACCATGCTCATAACAAAGGTTTACATCAGAACTTTGTTTTTGGGCAAGTAGTTTTGTTTTTGGGCAAGTATGAACTTTTTCATACTACAAGTATTTGAGAAATTGGCATGTGATTTAGCCCACCTGTGCAATATGGTGCAACGTACTCCTCTGCGATCTACTTAGATATTCAATGCACTCTAGCACCAGTGGACTAAAAAGGCCCCGCTGACATCGCGAGCAATGAGCTCATGTAAGAAGCAGGGTGATCAAATTGAAATATAACATTTTCTATGGAACTTTAGTAGTGAAACACGATACAACTGTATTTCTGGCTATTTCGCAGGGCAACGACATTCTTCAACTATAACTATATTTCAGTATCTCTCAAGGCCCCCCTCCTAACATGAGCTCATAGCTCGCGATGTCATTGGGATCTTGCTCACGATTTACGGGGCCTGGATAGTCACCGTGTCTAGGTATTGTATAAATGCTCATCATCATCATATGAGAATATCTAAAAAATAAAGAAAACAGAAATATAATGAAAAGCTTATATATTTCCAGATCCTGCATCATGCCCTATGTCAGGGACTACTACATTTATTCAGAATGATACCATCACATTTGAGTGGTCTGTCACATATGCAGGAGAGAGAGATGATAGCCAGAAACCCACCATTACTTGGACACTTAATGGTATTGAGCAAACTGCAACACCTGATGAGACTACACCGGGGGTCTTCAAGTCAACGTTTACTAAAACAGCATCTAGTGTTGATAACCTGAAGGAACTCAATTGCTCCTTTACTGTACTGAATATCCAACAACATTGTTCCACTAGGCTCAATATACAATGTAGGTATTCTTATTATGTAATGTAATATTATGTTATCGATATAATCATTGAAATAATTATAACAGTTGAATATATCATTTGCCGGAGACTCTTATATTTGGGCATTTAATTCTCTTTTTATATTTAAGAGTCACGTCGAGAAACAAAAATCTGGCAAATAGACGTCCAAGAAAATATTGCAAGTTATTTCTTAGAAATGTTTTCAGTAACACTATGACCGTGAAGAAATATTAATTTTTATTTTTATTAGTGTTTCGTTTTAGATCCAGCACGAAAGCCAACACTCTTTGTCGATGGCAACAATATTCCAGACCAAGCTATAATACAACGCACAGTAGGGAGAAATGTACAACTAAAAGGAGAGTCATTAGCAAACCCTACTCCAACGTTCATATGGCAGTTTAGAGCAACAGGTGATCCTAGCTTTGGAACTGAGGAATTTGGAGACACAAAACAAATCAACAACATCCAATTCAACCAGGCAGGGATATACAGATGCTGTGCTAGCAATAACTTGAACGGTTATAGGGAATGCAGTGAATTGACAATCGAAGTTGTTGAAGCTGGTTATGTGGCACATACATGTACGTATATGCATTATCGAAAGTGATTGAGTTATGTTGATGTGTTCGTTAATTTCGAAATAACAACAACTATTACTGCAACTCCAGGGTCTTGTCAATGTGTGAGTCTTTTTATTGTTCAGTTAACGCCGTAACCTTTCTGCTTCTCCATTGTTCTGACTCTTATTTGACAACATGCTGGATCTGAAATTATTAGAGTCCGATTAATATAATTAGATTCAGACAATGTTTTTCTATTGAATACAATAATTGTTTGAACAGGTAGTCCAATGGGGACTATTATTGGTGTTCTTGGTTTATTGGTTGCCATCGCCATCATTGCTGTTCTTGCTTTCTTCGTCTTCAAGCTGCACAATAAAATCAAACAATTGAACAGAGAAAAGTCTCTGTTACAAAAGGATTCCAACAATCGGTATGAATATAAAAACTAGAATTACAGCCAAGTTGGTGAAATATCTTGTGAATGTCACCTTATGACGTGGTCACATTTGCTCCGATTTTCAGCACCGGCGCCTGGGCGATGAGTATTTTGTTCAAAATTGTATTTAATTCTGAACAAAATTGTATTTAATCAGCCGGGCGCAGTCGGACCAAATGTGACCAAGGCATTAAAAGACATTTTTAAAGCTTTGCTTGTACCTTAATAGGGAGCTTGCATATAGAATTAAAACGGTAATCTGTACATATCAATCGCTTGTATTCAAACCATGTAGCATATTCGCTTTAATAGAGATTTTACATTTTGGCATGCCAACCCAAGGTCCTTACCATGGCATGGGTGCACTAAGGTCCTATCACTTTTGGAAGAGTTTATTTCATTCATAAGGTAGTATAGGAGTCTATTTACATTTTATAAGCACAACATTTGAATACACACTCAGTGGAGCCAGTTCCTTGAATAAAACCAAGACATTGCAAATCTATGTAGTAAATGCACTAGTATATAATTTATCAATGTGCAAAAGACCCCATACAGAACAGTTCTAGTGATAAAGACAGTCTTCCCATTACAAACCAAAGGCTTTACCAAAACGCCCAAAAAATCACTATGAATTTTTCTGTTATTGCAGACATTTATAGTTAGTTTATTGACTAAATTACACAAACAGGCACATTTTAAAAAAAATCTTACTTGGAAATACGGTACTTATAATCGGGTTCCATATACATATTAAAATGTGTTGGTTTATGCATGCACATTGATGAATAAACAAAATATTTGTTCATACAAACTGGAGAACGTACAACATCTGCGTTCATACACACTGGAGAAAGTACATATTATTTGTTGATACAAAAGGTGTGTTCATAAACAATGGAGTACATGTACATAATATTTGTTCATACATGTTGGTTCATATACATGTTCATACTGGAGTTCCACTATAGATATAGTAGTACATAAAATTTGTTCATACACACTGGTTTAGGTACATTTTATTCATTCTGACACATTGATTAATAAACAAAATATTTGTTGAGACACGGAAGAGAATGAACAAAGTTTTGGTTCATGCACAATGGAGAAGGTACAAATGATTTGCTTATACATATTGGAGAATGGACGCAAAATATTTGTTCATACATACAAGGAGAAAGTACATAAAATGTGTTCATAGAAAGTGGAGAACGTACAGAGTATTGGTTAGATAACTGGTGAAAGTACATAATATTTGCTCATACACACTGGAGAAAGTACATGATATTTGTCTATACACACAGTTAAAAAGTATTGTTTCATATATACACTGGAAAAATATAAATAGTAGTTCATACACACAGAAGAAAGTACAATATATTGATTCTGAAACATTGGTGAATAAAAAAATAGGGAAATGAACCTAGTTTCGGTTCATACATACTGGAGAAAGTATATTCACTTCAGTGTTATCATGTTATGCTCAGACTTTACATCGAAGCCTTGACACCGCAGCATGTAATGAGCCATGGATTATAGCTGCCTTATAGCTGGATGGCTGTTATATTTTAAACAAGCACGTTTCGTAAGATATTTGGAGTTAAAACATGCATGACATACATCAACTTCTTTAGAACGAATTATACTGTACATCGAAATCAAAATTGCCAGCATAGCACTAGTATTTAATAGAATAGATAGAAGTACTAGAATAGTATGATTCCCTTTTACATCAACATGTAATTGTAAATTACTCTTTCTGAACACGAAACTGTGAAGCTGGACGGGCATCTGGAGTAGACAAAATCACATACAAAACTATTCGCGCTCAACATATGCCTATATTAATGCATGTGCTTTCCGTTTACGTTCAGGTTGTGAAAATCTGTGCAAACTTAAAGTCCCTATTATATGACCATTTACCGATTGGATTTACATATTGAAATGTTTCACTGTTTATTCTACAGCATTTAAGTGGCACCTCGCTTGATTAAATTAGATAGATATTTAAGGTAAAGAATGCAAACTATTCCTCTACTAAAATTTTTGTTGTCCTCGAGAAATATCTCTTCTTAGCAAAGATATTATTTTATGTTGGCTGCAATTGTATTTATATCTGTGCCGTTCCTCAATTATTTTTTCATTGTTGTTTTTATTATGTTATAGTAGTGGTACAAGTGTGATGGATGTTGCCTTCCTGCAAAGCCAAAATGTTCCATATGAAGAAGTTGACTTTCAGACAAACACATATGTTCAGCTTAAGAGAGGTGATGTTAAAGTAGATATTGTAAGTGACAATATAAACAATGCCATTTTAATTACTAGTATCCAGTGTACAAAAGCCCCCTCTGTGCTTGGTTGTGAATGTACACGTACTGTTATTTGTAAATGTAGTTCGGCGGTTCTCAATCACCAGAAAATAGCACAATTTTGTATGATTTAGGCCCGGTGTGAAAGAAATTATGTTCCCCCAGTGATTATGGTCCCCCTTTTAAAGGCCCTTACTGGCCCTGATTGTGTATAAGATAATAAGGGAAATAGGTCACCATATAAATCAATGGAGAGTAGGACCATAAATTAATAGGGCTCCTACCATTTTACACCTGATTTAGTCAAGTATGCTCAGCTCAACAAAACTTATGTGATCGTTCACATTGTAAGTTAATGACAAACGAAATGCAATCTTAATAACATTATTAACATAACATTAATAACAAAAACAGGATAGCCCATAGTATGAAATCTCTAGGACGTCTAATAAAGGAGCTGGTAGCACACTATAGTGCAGCAATATTTGACCTAAAATTAACATACCTACATATGTTCCCTCATAATTTTTATTATAACCATTTAATATACTTCCGGCTTTTAGGCTGAATTATGCCTGCCATTAACAGAGGTCAAAAAATTATCAAAAAATTAAATCCCAATTATTCACAGTTTGGAGTACACAATGCAACAGAAAATAATACAAAATGATTTTGAATATATGATTTAGGTTTCTAAGCTATAAGTTTGAGGTTATTTTTCTTACCAATACCAAAAAGATATGTAATCAGCATATCGACGTTTTGTATTGTTTCTCAGGTATTAATAAGATAAGTGCTACAAATGAATCACTTTTATATTAGAATGACAAATGCTTGAATTATGCTAGTTTTTCACAAAATGGGTCTCAATACGTTTTGAGATGGACTTTTATTCAGCGGTGAACATTATCAATAAAGGAGGGCACATTGCTCTTCCTTGACGAATAGGAACTACAGCTAAAATTTTATTTCTCGTAGTTAGATATTGCTCAGTTGATTATAAAACAACCATCAAGACTTGATCGAATTCATGAATAATTGAGAAAAATCGTTATCATTATCTTCCTAAAATTTGATTGTATCCGGCGGTAAGGTCAAAGAAGAAACAACCATCAGAAAACTTGATGGTAGCGAGCAGTAACGTCGAAGAAGAATTGTAAAGCGTTCAATTGCATATGACTAATTGATTATTTGACATGCCCTTGGAATATATGAACATTCCAATACCTCTGTAACATTTAATCAGAAATAAATCTTACCTATTTGTTATTGTATTATGTTTTATGAAACATGAACAATGATTTGTTGTTTGACCCCTTGCGATGATATCGAAAAATTCTGGTAATAAAATGTTTTTAATGGTAAGAAGACTAATATGTTCCCAATCATAAATTTCTTAAATATTCAACAGAATTTTCTGCTTGGCTCATATTTGAAAAATCAAAAAAATCTGAAAAATACACTTGCGTAATTACATTAAAAACCGACATCTACAATAAAATTATAGTATATTTTTACATTATGATAATCTATTGTTTGTTCGTATGAATAATGGTGTGTGTCTTATAAAATGTATAAAAGTTCGAATCAAAATATTTACGTTTTTTGACCCCTTGTGATGTTAGACATTTTCAGACCCGAACGGAAGTTTTTTCAGCAAATGGTATTTTAAAAGAATCAAGACATATGCACCTCCATAAATATTGCTTCAAATGTTGCTGTGCTATAGTGTGCTACGGATCCTTCATATTCGGAAGTCATACCATGGACTACTACTCCGTGCATGATATTTGTTTTGAATTTATATTACTGTTTGTAATAGCTGTTTGTGCCTAATCACGAGAAAAACGCAAACAAATATCATTATTCAAATGATTAAGCCAAACACATGTGACAACGAATACCCAATGGAAGTAATTGATATCAGGGCCACATTAGGTGCTGGTGAATTTGGAGTTGTAAAACTAGTGAATGTTTCAAATATCACTGTTTGTGTGATTTAGCCAAACACATCTGACAAAGAATACCCAATGGAAGTTATTGATATCGGTGCCACATTAGGTGCTGGTGAATTTGGTGTTGTAAAACTAGTGAATGTCAATGACGAGATGAATGCGCCATTTATGGCCGCTGCGAAGATATTAAAGGGTAAATTATACTGCTTAGTGAATCTCTTCAAACCATTTCATAATGCTTGATTTTTCCACGATTTTGTAGGCAAAATCTACTCTATCATCATTCCGGCGTCCCCTGAGTCCTTCGTTCGCAAACAAATATATTTCCTAAATATATGACGTTGATAAACTAATGTGCCAAAAAGGTCGTAAAAATTTTGTCAACATCTCCTGGAATCATGGAATATGAAAAACCGTACCTCCGTCCGAGGCTGTAACATTTTATTACCAATTTGAAAAGTCCCAATACAGTGTATATAATAGGAATTGTGTCTCAATATGCATTAAGAATAAAGTTTATTTTCTTTTTTGATATTACTTTGGTATACCTTTTTGCAGATAATGCATCAGATGACGACCACAAGGCTCTGCTTCGTGAATTGGATCTAATGAAGCAGTTACCAAAACATAACACTGTGGTAGAACTTCTGGGTTACTCAAAATACAATGGTACGATATTTTATGATGATACTACATACTGTATATATCAGCCTATTAGGCTTTAAGTTTCATCCATCCTCTGAACGCAGGGATCAAGACAACCTATACTACATCCCTTCATTGTTTCGGAAATAGCGACTTCTAAAGGCATGTGTTCGAAAGATGGATTTAAGTCCTTGGATATCTGGCAAAGCAATAATGAGATATTTTTATATTTCTAAACAGGGCTTTTTACTTTTGTAGAATTGTAATGTTTTAACGAATGAAGTGAATTGTATGTCAACTATCAATTATATCAATACTTTATTTATCTTTAATAGTTAATTATCTTGATCCATTCTTCATATTGTCAATACCATAATCCTTTATAATAAACTTATTTGATCATATATTATCCTTTATATAGACCAAACAATGATCCTTGTTGAGTATCTACCCATGGGTGACCTACATATTCCTATTTGACATCATATTCCCATTTAATATCATATCCTATTTACAGACCAAACAATGATCCTTGTTGAGTATCTACCCATGGGTGACCTACATATTCCTATGTGACATCATATTCCCATTTAATATCATGTCCTATTTACAGACCAAACAATGATACTCGTTGAGTATCTACCCTTGGGTGACCTACATATTCCTATGTGACATCATATTCCCATTTAATATCATGTCCTATTTACAGACCAAACAATGATCCTTGTTGAGTGTCTACCCTTGGGTGACCTACATATTCCTATATGACATCATATTCCCATTTAATATCATGTCCTATTTACAGACCAAACAATGATCCTTGTTGAGTATCTACCCTTGGGTGACCTACATATTCCTATGTGACATCATATTCCCATTTAATATCATGTCCTATTTACGGACCAGACAATGATCCTTGTTGAGTATCTACCCTTGGGTGACCTACATATTCCTATTTGACATCACATTCCCATTTAATATCATATCCTATTTACAGACCAAACAATGATCCTTGTTGAGTATCTACCCATGGGTGACCTACATATTCCTATGTGACATCATATTCCCATTTAATATCATGTCCTATTTACAGACCAAACAATGATCCTTGTTGAGTGTCTACCCTTGGGTGACCTACATATTCCTATTTGACATCACATTCCCATTTAATATCATATCCTATTTACAGACCAAACAATGATACTCGTTGAGTATCTACCCTTGGGTGACCTACATATTCCTATTTGACATCATATTCCCATTTAATATCGTGTCCTTCTTACGGACCAAACAATGATACTCATTGAGTATCTACCCTTGGTTGATCTACATATTCGTGTTTGACATCATATTCCCATTAATATCATGTCCTATTTACGGGCCAAACAATGATACTCATTGAGTATCTACCCTTGGGTGACCTACATATTCCTATTTGACATCATATTCCCATTTAATATCATGTCCTATTTACAGACCAAACAATGATACTCGTTAAGTATCTACCCTTGGGTGACCTACATATTCCTATTTGAGATCATATTGCCATTTAATATCATGTCCTATTTACGGACCAAACAATGATACTCGTTGAGTATCTACCCTTTGGTGACCTACATATTCCTATTTGACATCATATTCCCATTCAATATCATGTCATATTTTCAGACCAAACAATGATACTCGTTGAGTATCTACCCTTGGGTGACCTACATATTCCTATTTGACATCATATTCCCATTTAATATCATGTCCTATTTACAGACCAAACAATGATCCTTGTTGAGTGTCTACCCTTGGGTGACCTACATATTCCTATGTGACATCATATTCCCATTTAATATCATGTCCTATTTACAGACCAAACAATGATCCTTGTTGAGTATCTACCCTTGGGTGACCTACATATTCCTATATGACATCATATTCCCATTTAATATCATGTCCTATTTACAGACCAAACAATGATCCTTTTTGAGTATCTACCCTTGGGTGACCTACATATTCCTATTTGACAGCACATTCCCATTTAATATCATATCCTATTTACAGACCAAACAATGATCCTTGTTGAGTGTCTACCCTTGGGTGACCTACATATTCCTATGTGACATCATATTCCCATTTAATATCATGTCCTATTTACAGACCAAACAATGATCCTTGTTGAGTATCTACCTTTGGGTGACCTTCATATTCCTATGTGACATCATATTCCCATTTGATATCATGTCCTATTTACAGACCAAACAATGATACTCGTTGAGTATCTACCCTTGGGTGACCTACATATTCCTATTTGACATCATATTCCCATTTAATATCTTGTCCTTCTTACGGACCAAACAATGATCCTTGTGGAGTATCTACCCTTGGGT